GTGGCGACAGCTCAAATTATGATCAGCATTGTGGTGACAGCTCAAATTATGATCAGCATTGTGGCGACAGCTCAAATTATGATCAGCATTGTGGTGACAGCTCAAATTATGATCAGCATTGTGGCGACAGCTCAAATTATGATCAGCATTGTGGTGACAACTCAAATTATGATCAGCATTGTGGCGACAGCTCAAATTATGATCAGCATTGTGGTGACAACTCAAAATTATGATCAGCATTGTGGTGACAACTCAAATTATGATCAGCATTGTGGCGACAGCTCAAATTATGATCAGCATTGTGGTGACAGCTCAAATTATGATCAGCATTGTGGCGACAGCTCAAATTATGATCAGCATTGTGGTGACAGCTCAAATTATGATCAGCATTGTGGCGACAGCTCAAATTATGATCAGCATTGTGGTGACAACTCAAATTATGATCAGCATTGTGGCGACAGCTCAAATTATGATCGGCATTGTGGTGACAACTCAAAATTATGATCAGCATTGTGGTGACAACTCAAATTATGATTGGCATTGTGGCAACAGCAAAGCTGTCGCCACAATGCCAATCATAATTTGAGTTGTCACCACAATGCTGATCATAATTTTAGGTAATAGTAGTTCAATATTCAAGTCAACCACAATTACACAAGTATTCCTTAAAAGTTTTTTCCAAAGTTTTAGCAATCGGTATTATATCTATTTTTAAAAACAAGAATCTGTGGTACATGATTCCTCTCTATATACATACAAAAGATATCTAACGATTAAATGAAAATAAGATTTTACTCCGAGAATCAATTTTGAATGTCTTATCATATTTAAAAAGCTTAATTTTTGCCCACAAATAACTGATACTAAACATGGCCAAATCTAAAAAGAAATGTAGACAGTACAGTGTTAATTATTTGAAATTTGGCTTCATTCCATCATTGTTGGACAAATGATTGCCTACATGCATTTTATGCAACAAAGTTTTGAGCAATGCCGCTATGAAACCATCCAAGCCAGAGAATCATCTGATAAAACAGGCAAAGATTTGAAAAACTTTCAAATATTTAAAGAAAAATTTCACAAGAGTCCCACATTGGATAGTATGTTCACTTCGACGTCACAAACAAACGATGATGGTTTGCTGGCGTCTTACAATATCTGCAAATGACCCATTTCTCTATACAACTGGATAAGTCAACTTTACCTGGTAATGAAGCATTATTATTGGCATATGTTTGTTTTGTTATGGACAAAGAAATCCATGAAGAACTGCTCTTTGTGAGAACTTTGACAACAGACACCAAAGGCGAATCAAATATGTAATGTTTTGAGAGATTATTTCAGGAAAAAGCAATTCTTNGTTCACTTCGACGTCACAAACAAACGATGATGGTTTGCTGGCGTCTTACAATATCTGCAAGTGACCCATTTCTCTATACAACTGGATAAGTCAACTTTACCTGGTAATGAAGCATTATTATTGGCATATGTTCGTTTTGTTATGGACCAAGAAATCCATGAAGAACTACTCTTTGAGAGAACTTTGACAACAGACACAAAAGGCAAATCAATATGTAATGCTTTGAGAGATATTTCATGGAAAAAGCAATTCCTTTATCAAATATAATATAGCAGATGAAACACCAGCCATGTTTGGGCACTATCATGGATTTATAAGCCAATTAAAACAAAATGTACTCGGGGTGTTTGCAATACACTGTGTCTTCCATCAACAACATTTAATTGCTAAAAATCCGAGTGGTAGATTGCATCAATCTCTTCAATTTTTCATTAACGCAGTAAACAAAATTCGAAGTAACACGTTGAATACTAGTTATTTGCACAGCTGTGTGAAGAAAATTACGAGAACTTTCATCAATTGCTCCTTCACACTAAAGTATGTTGTCTGTCAAAAGGCTTATGTTTGACAAGATTTTTTTTACTTTTTGAGACAGTTTTAGAGCTTTTGGATGATAAAGATCCAATTTTAAAAGAAAATTCAATTGAGTGAAAGCCAGACATTGCTTATTTAACAGATTTGTTCACTAAATTTAATGAGGTTAGCTTGCAGTTACAAGGTGACAGTCTAAATTTGATAAAAAGAAAGTCCATCATTTCAGCTTTTCTTGTCAGAATTAATGAAGCAAAATATTGGATGGTGCAAATTTTCCCAGTTTCCCAATTTTTCATAGACAAACTGTCAGGATGATGATGTTTCAACCTATGTTCAACATTTAAATATGCTTCACAAAGGCTTTGAAACTAGGATTGAGAATGTTTTGACTATGGAAATACCACAGTGGATTATCGATCCATATGGTGACATTGAAGAAACGAATGTCATATTACAAGAACTGATCAGAATAAGCATTAACAAAGAACTTAAGGTACAGTTCAGAAAGATATATCAGCAATTTTTGCTTCAGAGAGACATATCTATTACTTATCCAGCATTGTGAAGTATCACAAGAAAGTTTTTGGTAGCTTTTCCATCTTCATACCTCATGGAAAGGGGGTTCAGCGTGGTTGCCAATCTTCTTACAAAAAAAGAAACAGATTAGAA